TTACAGCCACGAATGATCTCTTGTCATCATACATATTTTAACATGTTTAGTAAAGCCGTTTATACATCACATTCGCACGTCAATAAGACAATTAAAATCATTGGTTGCTTCATTTCTTGTTGCTTCTTGTTTGGTAATCGGTATTGGCCTAAATAAAGAAGCTGGATTATTATTGTGGAAAACTTCAGTAATATATTTTGGGAGGTTTGAAAGCCAATTTACTGCACACTTAAAAATTTGATCGTGACTTTTTTTTTTCATTTGGAGAACCTTTCATGGTTTGTCTGCTATGTCTATAACGTGCTCATCGGAGTAAATCTATACTGTGGATAATTACTCTTCGAAGCGATTGGAGATTATACGGTCGAATAATTATTCTTCGGAGTGGTTGAAGATACGGAAGACAGGATAAGATATTGCAAATCTGTTTAATTAGATGAGAAAATTTTCAGTTCGAGCATGTATTGTAACACGGACAGTCAGCTTAACATATTGGCCGGGCGTTATCCAGTGCGGTCCTTGATCACCACTCTAATAATTGAGGCCTTCTTAGTATCTCCATTGGTGTCTTATATCCCTTAGCTATACGTATGTAGAAGCTACTTGCATAGTTAACTATTTCTGTACTACATTCTGTCAGTTCTCTTTATTTTAACTGTGCTGTTCTGGTTTTTCTGTCATATATATATATATGCGGTTTATGCATCGCGCTTTTAACAACCGATGTAGTCCTTGCCGAGTCAAATCAAATTGACGCTTATAATTGATATTGGGTCTCTACCGACTGGGAGAATTTCCAAAACGTCGTTTGAAACCATTGATTTCGACTAGGATCATAATAGACGACCATTATCCGCGTATATTTTTCGACGTGTGCCTGAATTATATTAGGGCTGTGAAAGAAAATTTCCCCACAAAATGCAACGAATATGTTCTTGTTCTCTACAGAAACATGCGCGAATTGACTAGTGTTTAATGGTGAATTAAAGTCCTTATTGGAAAAAGCTAGGAATCAAGACCTTATTATGCGAAAATGCTGTTGATCACATGGCTCTCTCCTCAAAGTCAGAACAGTCCAAAGAGAATTCATTATTAAAATAAATCTTTTCAAAGCCAAGACAAAATAATATTGACGGAAATTATTTGTTTAGAAAAAGCAAATGCTTTGCTCAGATGTTGAATATCCCGTTAACGATTTTAGTTAGTTACTAAATTTAAACAAAGACATAGTCTTACACAAATAAAAAAGGATGCTACTGCAGATCATGCTATACTGCTGTTGCTTAAGAGAGTTGTTGAAGGACTATGATTTAAAACGAGTTTACTTTACCGGTATGCATGTAATTAAGTTATGATAATAGTATATTGCTCCATTAATTTTAAATCTCAAACCAGATACCATCTTAGCAACAATTTGTCTCAAAGGAAAGAAAAAAAGATAAGGAACGACTAACATTAGCGCTATTACTATGTGCCCTTGTTGACGGATCCGATAAAACGAGGCCATTGATTATCGGTAAGTATGCAAAGCCGCATTGCTTCAAACACATAAACAGTAATACATATCAAGTCCTAAGGCGTGGATAACGAACCATATTTTCTGAAAAATACCGTTATAATTAAACATATAATAAAAAAAAGCCACGACATTTTTCAGCCACATCAGCCTCTTTAGCTCACATGATCAAATGTTTCACAGTTTGAGAGAGGGAAAAAAAATACACCGAAACTTTATTTGCATATTGTAATAATAATAATAATCCTAACCCTGTTCTAACTGAACACAATGCGAACACTATCATTCTAACTACTGCCCGAACTGTCTACAAAGGACTATGATACATCATATCCTTTCTCCTGCCGCTGGAGCGAATGCCATCTTATATTCCGCTGTGGGCTTTGGAAGCACCAGACACAGGTTTCGGTTAGCGACCTTTGAGGTTCTAAGAAAGTGAGCTGATTCTGCTAAAGATATTTCATGTAAGAGTAAGTTAGTAACAGAAGTAATGGAAGAAATGTTAAGAGCTTTTGAGCGTACGAAAGATTAGACTAAACCGTTTATTATGAAACTTACATATGACTCAGGTCTATATCATCCTGGATTTCAGCCAGCATATGGAGAGTCAACCAGTAGGTCATCATATAACCTATAGTCGGTGTTGGCCTCGGTTGTCAGTTCGAGGCCCGGATTATTCAGAAATGGATGCATTACATGATTAGGTGGCAATAGTTGTGGATCTATTGTTGTTAATGGATTGGAAGATGACGCTTGTTCGCAATGGGTAAAACGGATTTTCAGCACATCGCTGTTCCGTGCATCATTATCCCATAATAACGTTCCTCCAGGCGGGGGTGGAGTGGGTGGAGTGGGTGGAGCAGGTGTTGGAACAGTACTCGCACGTTTACGATGTCGTGGTTTCTTAGTTACCTTGGATGGTTCTGTTTCTGAGCGGGATATCGGTCTTTTTTTTGGATGCCGAGAATTTGTCCTACTATTTTCAATGGATGTTCCAGTGTCGACCTCAGGTTTGGGAACGGGATCATCGGCAGCGACATCGGAATTACTCGAGGGGTGCTGGGCAACCAATTGTTCTAGAGCTGATCGCACTCGTTCCTTCGTTGGACTTTCAGCGCACACATATTTCACGATAGTTTGGATATGCCATATACCTTCATAAAGAGGGTCTAATGGATTGTTTTCGAGTCTGGAGAATAGTGTCGCTACTCGGCAGGCTTGTTCAGTTTCACCATGAAGCAGTAGTTTGACGAGTGCTGTCAAAAAGCCTCTTTCCATTTGATTTAGCTTATGCTCATTCGTAGTGATTTTCTCAGTTGTATTAGATGTACCGTTCGGTTCAGATACGTTAATTCTACTCATATCTGAACTTTTGTTTGAAAATACTTGAATACAAATCAGTCCTTTTTAATACTCGATACGTTAAGAATGTTTGTTATTCACCACGTCCGAATTCGTTAGAAAATCTACTATATCGGTCAATTGATTCCTATAAAGTCTACATGTTGCACGTTGCACCTCCACATGGCTAGGCATCCCATTCAATTGAAATGATAAAATTATCAGCTTAACTAGCCTCATATTTCACGATTTATATGAGAAAACTTTATTTCATCGCTCACATCCCTTAAATCACTTGCCACAGAACCTACTTCAAAGCCTTTCCGTCTTTCCTCTCTTCCTTACGCAGAAGATATATTGTTCCAAATGATTACAAAAGGGATGAACAATCTCGATTCGTAACAATGTTTGAAAACAAACAACCATTTTGGGATTGAAGGGTCGAAATATGGGTTAGCATTATCTATTTGGGGCGTCCGACTTTACCATTTTAAGAATAATTTATATCACTTATCTATCGTAGCTGTTTACTTCACCCCTATTCTGTAATCAAGTGACTTGTATAATATTATAGAATAATTAATTGTTTATTTACGTAATAAGCCGTGGCCATTATGTAAATAATGCAAATTCAGAGTCGGGTGATCTTACATGCATTAATTGTAAAAAACTTTTTTTTGTCACAATTTTCATATATCGATGTTACAAATCAACGTGTTATTATTGGCAATGGAGTATTACTATCGATTGTACTACCGATCACTATAAAAAGAAATATATATTAATATGATAATTTATTTATCCACACATGTGATCATTATGGCAGACTCGTGTAACTACGTTTCTTACGTTTCTTCCCGATCTGGCTCTGGGAGATTGTTACACTCGATGAAAGACAAATTATAGTCTCGTCATCCAAGATGTTACTCGTAGAGATCGATTCGAGAATAGACTTGATTTATTGTAAGAACCTTTTTTTTTATTGGAATAGTGTTTTATAAAAAAAATTTTAATATGTCAGTGCTTTTTAAATATGCTGTACATTCTGCCATCTTGCAGTAACGTATAGTTAATGAATAAAGTAAAAGACGCATGAATACATGCGTAACAGCCTTCCAACAGTAATCATGCAGCTTCTTTCGCAATGCTTACGCATTCGAACGGATTTTGACCCCGTAACCATCAAATGTAGAATTACACTCGAAAACAAGCAAAAAGCTTGTTTATACGGGAGTGGGGCAAAATCCGTGTAAAGCTGTATAAAAACAGTGTAGGCAATAGTTAGAATGGAAGAATAAAAAAAACTTTACATACACTTTTAATATTGATAAACTGGCTGGATGTTCGCCAAGAAATCAAACTCACAAATTTATGTTTTCAAATTATTCTTGATTTCATCCGTGTTGCGTAGAATCCAAGAAACGTAAGTACAAATCGTCCGGTGACAGAATATTTGACGGTACTGACTCCCCGTTACTGAAGCTCATACTTCGCGACTCGCAGTAATTGCTAATTGTTGACGCAATAATTGGCATGTATTCTGCAAGTATACTTGATGAAGTCCCATTGATTGAAAGTCCGGTGATAGTACCGTTACTGCTAGTTGTCGACCCTCTATCTGGTGTATGCGTGCTCATATTTCTTGGCGATTTGCTAATTGAAAATCCGGTGATGGTTGATGAATCCCAGTTATTGCTAATTGTTGACGCGGTACCCGGAATAGAGAGCTCTTCAGCTTCAGTTATACTTGTGCGCGTGCGCGTGCCACTTGACATTTGCAGAGCGTGCGTATTTCTATGATCCTTGTTCACTTCCAAAGAAAACTCTTGATAATACTGTCCAAAATCTGCTGGCAGGTCTCTCCCATAAGAGCGGAAAGGAGTATTTGAATCTGGACTTTGTTTACTGTACGGTTTACGAACAGCTTTCTTACGGTTCTTTCCTTTACGAGAACGCTGCGATGTCTGCCGAGGCTGCGATGTCTGCTGAGACTGCGATGTCTGCGGAGAGTTCGATGTACTGGGTTTCGAACTAAGATTAATACTGATATTAGTCTGAGAAGATTCAGACAGTTTTGCTAATTTGCGCCATATGTCACTATTATCACGAATGACTGTCAGGTAGCCAATAACTTCATCAAATTTGTCTTCAACAAAAATTGGATGTGATGGATTAATTGAATTGAGTAGTCTACGCAAAATATCGTATTGTTCGTAGGTAGTAGTGCTTTCACAACGGATCTGGCTGAGCAGTAATTGTTTCAATCGTCGCACTTGTCTCAACGTGCCGGCCATCGCTTAGTCCACCAGAGGGAAACTGGTGGATTTATCTTGTCAACGTTAAGTCATACTTAAAGAAAAACAAATAAGGTTGTCGAAGCCCATTTCGGCCGACAAAAAACGGAGGGCATCAAAAAAATTAAGACGATCGCCATTTTGGTTGAGATAACCATCGGCGGTAAATCCATGCCAAAGGGAGTCATTAATGGAACCGATATTAATATACTCAACTTTAGTGCCAAATCGGCAAATATTGCAAACGATCTTTTTGTTAAAACGGAACGCAATCTCGCCCGATTATTCTCCAACTGTGTTTGTGTTGGCTAATGTTTTCAGGTTGACGGGTCTGCATTTGAAAAGGTCGAAACGTTGTTCTGAAAACGAGCGTTTATATGATGGATCGACCTTTTAGCGTAACTCAACTTTAAGGAGTGCATTTTTATTGCCATCAATCAGTGTGATACTTTGGGCATACGCATTTGGAGTATGAAATTGCCACATTGGACTGAGATGACTGAGTTCTAGACTGAGATGGTCCCGGAATGAGGTAACACAGATTTGGACATGCACCTTATCAATACGCATTTTTAATAGAACGCGGCTTGACTTGATATTTCGTGTGACAAATAGTAATAGTACGAAACATATTTTGTGTAAACAATTTTCCCTATCTTAATCTGCTAATAATCGTTTTCGTTTTCGACAAAAGTGAGTCATTATTTTGGAACTGTTACACACTTTTCTTTGCAGATTAAAATTTTAATGTTTCTTTTTCTTGTCAGTTATTTAGATCTTATTAGATGTTGGAGAATCCAAACTCATAAATGTATTATACATCATATTTCCCATGAAGGCTGTTCTATGAAAATGGGTAGTTGGTAATTTGAATTTTTGTGTGGGATTGTATACTCTTTATCCTGTGTCTTTTCCCTGATCTCTAATGTAGAAGTTCGGGAATGATAGTCAAATCTATACTGGTGCTCCAAAATCATCGTAATAAGCGACGCTACAGTTCTTTTTCTGTCTGCACTTACGAGTCATAAGGCAGACGGGTTTGAAGGGTTGCCGATAATCCTTATAACTATAACGATGTTGTCCCAATATCGATTTTCTGATAATCATCAATTAAAAATTCCAATCCCCATATATAGATAGTAGAATTTACACAATGCATTGTGTTATAGTCAATAATTCCAGCACTTTTTATACACTAGTCCAAATTAGTCTGTCTGTGTTAGTTGTACTACTATAAGGGGTCGGAAAGAATTTGACTTGTTTATTATTATAGCATTTATTTGCATTACATGTATTTTCTTTAATTATGTGAGCCAAAATTATTGTATGGTAGATCCAACTTGTGGTTATGTTAGATAATCTTTCATCTGGAAAACATAATTGACGAAATTGCATATAAAGTGGAAGCGGATATTACTATATTGCCGTCTTTTCGCACAAGTTTAGGGGCATTTCGTATACCTTGGGGTGTATAATAATAATAGACTTGTACAAATACACATTGAATTCACTCACAAACGTCATTGTGAAAAACCAAAACTAACCAAACACATCGTAATAACTATAATGATATATATTACCTCAATGGCAAAAAGGGGTTTATCTTAAAACGCGAGGGTTATTACCCGTCAGGAAGGTAATTCCCTTTAAGCGAAACGATATCAATACCGGCGCTGTCACTATATTTCGGAAACCACGTTACACAGTATGGGACATTATCCCATCACCTTTGAAATACATAGTCAACCTCGTTAATCCAAAGTCAAGGGACCGTTCGGTTTACAACATAAGTCTTTATTATTGTTTGGTTATTATTATCACAACGTACACAAAATGGTTCTACACGCTTCCACCTGCTAACATCCGATTATGTCGTCTCGCTTTGAGGTGCGAAAAAACCGTCAAAATGTAATTGTCACTTACTTGTATTCAAGTACTTTAATTATTCTCTAAGATCGACTACAAGGCGGTGATTGATGTCGAATTTTGTCGCATATTCTTGTCTAATAAATCATCGATGTTTCATTGGCTAATGCAAGCGAAACTGGGCTTTTATCCTCGTATTCTTCACACGGTTCTGGTGTTTCAATGCCTGTGACAATTTCTATAATGTCTTCATCAGTTGGTATTCTCCAAGTAAATGATTATCTATCTTTTTGGCTTACGGTTCATTATGAAAAAATAAATTCAAAGAGAGAGTTACGTTTTATAAGCTGGTGAGATTCTACGGAAGATCTTCGGATTAACGAGTAATTTTTATATGACATGTTTTTCACAACTGCGGATTACAGAGGTTTATTTAAAAAATCGGATAAACGAGGTAAATTTCTTATTAATAAATTGGGACCAGAATATTTCTTCGGATTAACGAGGTTGACGATGTATTACGAAGTGCGCTCTATTAGTATAAGTTTCATGATTGAATATCAATTGTAACAACTATGATATTAATATCGACAGAGAAGGCGATCACTTTATTGAATTTCTGATAAATTCCATTTTAAGAGCAACACACGGTATGAAAGAGAACAGTTTATCATTTCCTTTGGCATTCGGAGCGATATCTTATAACTTACCTACTATACGTCTTTGGGGATGCCAGACATGATTTCAGCCTTGTTAATACCAGGATGCTTGGATTATACCCAAGGCGGCCGAAACGATATTGAGTGTAGAAGAAAAAAACAACCGCGATGTGGCTATCATACCTATAAGAGTAGGTGGCGACAGAAACAATGGATTAGGAAAGGTTAGGCTATATGGCCATTATGAAAGCTTACTCACTTATTATGCAATGTCATCCGAATTATAAGATGGCGGAGAGCTATAAAGAGTCCCAAAACTATTAGCATAGGGAGCAAAGCCACTGTAATGCTGCAATTGTTGTTCTCTGATAAAATCTGCGACAAGGCTATTACTGACAGCCGGCACATTATCTTCCTGTATTTCATTCAGCCCAGAAGTCAGACAAGTACGTTGCATACGGCTGGATTGCAGCAATTGCTGTTCCCTTGTTGCTAATGGAGTAAAAGAAGTCGCTTGTCCGTCATGGCCATTGGGAATCGTCGATGCATTACCTTCCTGCATTTCTTTTGTGAGATTTCCGAAATCTACGACCTTCTCGTACGGTCCCACACGTACACGTTTTAAAGATCGTTTCTCAATGACCGTGGACTCGCAAGAAGCCGATCTTTTCGACGTGACGGTTGTATCGGCATAAGTATTAGGATTGGGAAGAGAGTTACTAGTGTGGACATTAGGTCTAGGAGAGATGTACTCGGCCGTTATTTGTTTTAGTTCTGACCGCATTTGATCTTTAGTTGCCGGATTTTCAGCACACAGGTATGTCAAAATGGTTTGGACACGATCGAGGTGTTCGTAGAGAGGGTGTAATGGATCGCTTTCGAGTGCAAATTGTAATTTCGCCACTAGGACACATAGTTTATCGTTCGCTAGTACTAGCCTGACCAACGCTGTCACAAAGCTTCTGTCCATTGCCTTTAGTTTTAGCTTTTCCCTATTTTTGGTGGCTTTTTCTGATGCGTTGGATGACTGTCTATTATTGACATTGTCACTAGATGTACTGTTCGATTTAGATTGTGTTGCACTCATTTCTGACTCACAACTGATACTGAAGGCATAACCAGAAATAAGTGTCTATTTATTAACGCTTGATCAGGATGTTCGTTTGTACTTCCCATTGCCGAAACCTGTTGTATCAAACCCCTTATATCATATACACATTAACGCCCAAGCCTTTTCAGTCTTGTTAGCGACAACTTTGGAAATATATCTATTCAAGAATTAAGGTTTCACAGGGCGTAATTAAATATTTTACACAAATTGTGGTAACGCTAATTATGTGTTTGCGACAAATTTGTACATTGCCATAGTATCAACCCTGACTCAACTTGAAACAGCCCAAATCGGAATATAAACGTTTACTATGGCTATTACAGTATTACAGTATCTCAATCTTGTCACACGATAATGCCACATGAATACATAGTCAACCTCGATAATAATAAGTCGGCCGGCTGTTTTTGCCGACTTACCGAGAGCATGTGACCTAACCGAATATAATAATAATAATTTAATTTGCAAAAAAACTATCTGTTGAATTAATTTGTTTCTTCCTTATTTGATTTTGCAAGTCTCTTATTTTTAATACTAAGGAACAATCTATGCTAAGTCATTCTGTTGTTGTAAACAACAACTATACTGTATTTTCGACATCAGTATTACGTTAACGTATTGGTATCGAACTTTGTAACACAATATTCTTAACCAGAACACTTATCACGTGAGAGCGACTTATCGAGGTATATACAAATATGACCAGTTTTGAGGTATTGACCGACTTAGGTCTTATCGAGAAATTATACAGATTGGCCGGCTTATCGAATATTTTTAAATAGTGAAAAAAGGGCTGAAGACATTTGGCCGAGTTATCGAGAAACCGACTTATCGAGGTTGGCTGTGTACTGCTAATACTTACAATTACCTGGTTTGGGTTCCCCTCTCTATTTCCTCTACCGTTATATTTACTCTTAGAACATTGGCCGCTATTGGATGACAACTGACGTCATTCATCTGCCCAACCGTCACAATCTAGTTTGAATAGTTTTTACGAAACGCGTTAATATCCCGAATTGTGAACGGTCAAGGGCTTCACTCCGTCGCGTCGCGGGTTATCTTTCACTACCTTAATGACGTGCGTTTTATTTATTTACCGAGTATGAGACAAACGAGCAAGACAACATTCTCGCGGAAATCTGGCATCTGTAGACGACGTTTTAGACCGATGCTTTCATATCTGAATAGTCAATGATACTTAGGTCCTCGGTATGTATAATAGACAAGAGTTTGGAATTACGATTAATTAGTGAAAACTTTCCCATGTTGAACAACAAGTTCTGTATCGTTTGAACGGGTGCTTTTTATCATAGTGAATCCCATGTTTGAGCTACTGTCGTTATATATGTATGTTCGATAAATCGAGTTATAATACGATACATATTAATATATGCAATTTTACTCGAACGCAATAACTTGATTATAATTCGGGTTTGTTTTTTTATTGAATTGTATTATGAAATAATACACAGTGAAAGTCGATATAACGGACCATCGATATAACGGACCGTCAATAAACTGGCTTTTTCTCTGGAACGGGATTTGTTTACTAAATAATATCTGATATAAAACTCACAATAACAAGTCGATATTACGGACTCGTCAATGATAAAACGCTGGTCCCGAACAGTCCGTTATATCGACTTTCACTGTGTAGATAGTTAGTATACACTAGTACGGACAACAAAGATTTGAAATTGAAAGTTTCTATACATTTGCCAATTGATCGTGATTCCCAACTTTAGCTTACTGTGTGTGTACAAGCAATATGCCAATTCTATCATTACAGAACTGAGCATGCTAAAAGCAGCCAAACTAAACGACCAGAGACAAACAAGACCTTTTTAAACGAAAAACTGGCACTAATCTGAATATTTTCTACGGAACGGGTGATGTGTTAGTATAAACAAACCGCCGATAACGGTGTTGAGACAGAGCATTTACGATAGACCATGTCTTTTCCTCAAAATAAAAAAACCGTAATGTGCCGACTCATCTGGTCTTGATGACTTGAAAACAACTAAATAAATGATTTCTAACTTTTATTCTCGAAAATAACTCAACTATCTGCTATCGATAAATGAGTCCCTGAACATGATCGACCTTGCATATTTCCCTGAAATCAACCTCGGTATATGAAATCTATTGCATAACAAAACCAGTAAAATTATACGATCAGCCATTGTGCTTTTGAATCAACGTTAACGGTTAGAAAACGTGAGCGTCACTGTCAATGATTACCTTTTGTAAGATTACAACTGGGTATTGTACACAGATAATTTCAATTAACGGAGAAAAGGGGTCGGAACAGTAGCCTCCGTTATATCGGGTTTCACTGTATATGACAAATAGAGAATTTGGGGGCGAAATTTCAGCGAAAGTAAACGAATTACAAAGTGCATTAACTGTAGCAAGCACAATAATTATTACTGTTACGTGTATTTAATAGTCGTCAAATCAACGTCAATTATAACCAACACAATATAGACTAATTTGGACTAGTGTATAAAGTGTCGGAAAAATCGTCCGAATTATTGACTATAATAATAATAATAATAATAATAATAATAATAATAATAATAATAATAATAACAATGTTGGGGAAAATGTATAAATCACAATTGACGAAACCAGAGGTGAATATTACTAGCTCGCCAAGCAGAAATTATTTTTTTGGAAACCTCGCTTCTCCAAACGTTAAATACCAAATTATTTTCTTAATATCAAGCAGAGTGGTAAAAGCAACAGTCGTTATTTTTTAGAAACTCCTCAAGCCTTTTGGATGAGGATTGCCATAGGCTTGGTCTTGAATTAATGAAAAAGCGATTGAGTCTTACCATACAATGACAAAAACTCTGGCTGTCGGGAAACCATGTTACATAACATGGTAACGTTGGGACATTGTGCCGTCATCTTTGCAAATATTACGAAGTACGCTCTATTAGTGAAGTTCCATGATTTATTGGGTTCACGTAAGATTTTCCGACAGAAGTAAAATAGCTTAGGCAGTAACATATACCATGTATCTGCTTACCGATTATTGAATAACAATTGTAACGACTATGAGATCGTATGTCTTAACATTATTGATCAACGTGAACAGTTTATCATTTCCTTTTTGCTCGGCATTCTTCCGCGATTTACCTGCTATACGTCTCTGGGGATGCCGACTGATTTCAGCCTTGTTAAAGCCAAGGCGGCCAAAATGATATTGAATGTAGAAGAAGAAGAAACAACCGCGATGTCGTTTCGTTATCATACGTATAAGAGTAGGTGGCGACAGAAATAATGGATCAGGAAAGGGACTATATGTCCATTATGAAAGTATTATAAGATGGCGGAGAGCTATAAAGAGTCCCAAAACTATCAGCATAAGGAACCAAGCTACTGTCGATTCTCAGCATATAAGGCAGCGGCTGCAATTGTTGTTCTCCGATAATATCTGTGACAAGGCTATTATTGACGGCCGGCACATTTACGTTCCTGTATTTAGTTCAGCCCAGAAGTCAGAGAAGTATGCTGCATACGACTGGATTGCAGTAGCATGTTGCTATTGGAGTAAAAGAAGTCGCTTGCCTGTCATGGTCATTGGTAATTGTCGATGCATTGCCGTTCTGCATTCTTTTGTGTGATTTCCAAAATCTACGACCTTATCATACGGTCCCACACGCACACGTTTTAAAGGTCGTTTCTCAATGACGATCTTTTCGAGGTGACGGTTGTATCGTGTATAAGTATTAGGATTGGGCAGGGAGGTACTGGTGTGGACATTAGAGGTGTTCGCCGGGAGTTCGCCGGGAGTTCACCGGATTTTCAGCACACAGGTATGTCGAAATGGTTTGGACACGATCGAGGTGTTCGTAGAAAGGGTGTAAGGATCGTTTTTGAGTGTAGATTGTAATTTCGCCACCACGACGTATAGATTATCACTCGCTAATATTAGGCTGACAATCGCTTTCAGAAAGCTTCCCTCCGTTTGCTTTAGTTTTTTCCTATTATCAATGGCAGTTTTTTCTGATACTGTCAATATTAACATTGTCACTAGATGTACTGTTCCGTTTAGAGCTGTGTTGTATTCATTTCTGACTCACAACAGGTAACCGCTACTCTGTGTCTATTTGTTAACGCTTGATCAGGATGTTCGTTTTTACTTCCGAAACCTGGTATATCAAACCCCTTATATCATATACACATTGAAGTTTTGCATTCATTTAGCGGTTTTGAACCAGTGTGGGTAGGTTCGCTTATTGTCTATCTTTATATGGCAGATCCAACTATTAATGGTTATAGATAATCTTTCATCTAATATTAATACACCGCATTATAAAGCGCACACCTGGAGCGTATATGCAAATACTCTTTGAACTTGTAAACGCCATTTGAACGAAACTATCCAAACACATTGAATATCCGTAATGACACATTGCTTCAATGACAATAAGCATTATACCAGACCATTATGTCCTTCCAAATGCGAAACGATAGTAAATACCGACAAAACCCTGGCTATTGCTATTGCCTAATGTTTCGGAAACAACGTTATCAACATGGGTAACTTTGCGATATATTACGAATGGACATGAAGCGCGCATGAAGTTCCATGGTTTATTGGGTTCACGTAAGATTTTCTGACTAATTAAATAGTTTAGGCCAGTAATATATATATTTATGTCCCTTACAAACTTATCTGATTATTGAATATCAATTGCAACCTATATTCCACCGACAGACTTTCGGATACGATCGTATGTCTTAACTTTATTGGATTAACATTTGTGATACATGACTGAACGTAGTAGATACATTCTGCAGCAGCACGCAACAGGCAGCAGCCTATGTTACCATTTCCCTTTCTTGTCCGCTATTGTTCCATCACTAGCGGATGATACCTTAATAATTTACCTACTCTAAGTCTCTGGGTTGGCAGACATGTTTCCAGCTTCAACTGTAAGTGTTAATTATAATCCTCGAAAGTTAAAACCAGAATGCTTGGATCAAGCCCAAGATAGCCACAACGCGATTGTGCGTTCAAGAAAAATCACCTGCGATATCGCTATCATACCTATAAGAGTAGATGGCGACAGAAATAATGGATTAGGAAAGGTTAGACTATGTGGCCATTATGGAAGCTTACTCACTTATTATATGTCATCCGTATTATAAGATGGCGGAGAGTTATAAATATTCCCAAAACCATCACTATATACAGGAGCAAAGCCACCGTTGGTTCTCACTACAAAAGGCAGCGGCTGCAATTGTTGTCCTCCGATAATATCTGCGACAAAGCTATTACCGACGGGCGGCACATTACCTTCCTGTATTTGGTTCAGCCCAGAAGTCAGAGAAGTATGCTGCATACGGCTGGATTGCAGTAGCGATTGCTGTTCACTTGTTGCCATTGGAGTAAAAGAAGCCGCTTGTCCGTCATGGACATTGGGAATTATCGATGCATTACCTTTCTGCAATTTTTTGGGGGGATTTCCCAAATCCACGACCATATCATACGGTCCCGCGCGTGCACGTTTTAAGGGTCGTTTCTCAGTGACTTTGGGCTGTTCCAATTTTGAGCAAGAGGCCGACCTTTTCTGAGAGGACGTGACGGATGTATTGGTACAAGTATTAGGATTGGGAAGGGAGGTACTGGTGTGGACATTAGGTCTAGGAGAGAGGTCGGCTGCTAATTGCATTAGATCTGACCGCATGTGTTTCCTAGTTTCCGGATTTGGAGCACACAGATATACCAAAATTGTTTGAACACGGTCGAGGTGTTCATAGAGAGGGTGTAATGGGTCGCTTTCGAGCGCGAGGTATACTTGCGACACTAGGCTGGCTAGCTTATCATCACCCGCTAGTACTAGTCTGGCCAACGCTGTCATAAAGCTTCCGTCCATTTCCTTTAGCTTTTCCCTATTCCTAGTCGCTTTTTCTGATGCACTGGATGACTGTTTGGCATTCTCGCTAGATGTACTATTCGGTTTAGACTGCATTGTACTCATTCTGGTTTACGGCAGATGCTGATGTCGAAGTGAAAGGAAATGTATTCAATTTATGTTTGAAGTTTGTACTTCCCAAGCCCCTTATATCATTTACACACTTTCTGATTGTTGAATCCCAAAAATACATCAGAAGTGTATTGAATACAATTACTGTAACAATAAAATACTACCACAGATTACAGTTATTATTATACGTTATAAATGATGCATAATTAGTTATGCATATAAAAAAATAAAGTTGAGGGCTAACAATGCGGGCTGATATGGATAATCAACACAACCCAAATCGGAATACGGCGTGTTCATTTACTCCAAATTGGAATAAGCTCATAATGACATCCTTTTTAGTCCAAAACCTGATACACTTACCCGCTCACACAATAATCTGACATTTTACTCGTTATGACTTTCGCCCCCATTCGATCATCGAGTTGCTTTTTTTCAAATTCTCTTTATGTTTGTGTTGACGGATTCATTATCAAACTGTCCGTCGGCAAATATGTATGTAGGAATCAGTGAATCTCAATTGGGAACATTACATGATCGTCATAGTCTATAAATAGTCACTCAATGTGTAACAATATTCGAATACGGTATGTCACACCGAGTAACTTACTATTACAGTAGATAAGCCGAATTTGGCTCAGCCTATATTTAAAATTTCTCAAAAAGTCAGCAGCAATTGTCCAATAACATTTTGTTACTCATCGATTGCTATTTCATTATAAATTTATCTGATGATTTAGAAAAGACGTTCTTGTAATGTCAACAATTGTTTATACAGCACTTCAAGAAGCACCTTCAGATGATTATGATGAAGTCCGCCGATATCTAACAAAATAGCTTTCAAATTTTATGTAATTACTTGGAACAGGATACGCTCTGCGGCGTTCAATGACACATAGTTGACACATGCACAAGAATAATGTGTCCCTTGTTAAATTTTTGACCTTATCAAATCTTTTTCCCTTCAGTTCTTTTTTGATTCGAGGGAATAAGAAAACACAGTCTGGACTGTATGGCAAGTGGGGGGAAAGTTTCATTCGTTTGTTATGAAAATACTCTGTTATAATCGTTGCCTTAGGTGGTGCGGCATTGTCGTAATAAAGCATGACGTCACGAACAGTTGTTCTTCTCTTTTTTCTGGAGGCTCAGCTTATTATGCAAATGTAAGAAATTTTTTCACGAGAAACGCAGATTCCGTTGGCTAATTTTCTAATAAAAATGTGCGGGTTATTGCTAACAATATCCTCGACCTTGGCAATTTTTTCTGACGTCACGGCGTCCAAAACGAGCCTTTAATTTCTTCTTCCCCGTCTTTGAATATAGCAATCCAGCGTCTAATTGTGCTGATAGACAATGCTTGTTTTCCTTCTACATTCACCAACTCCTCGTGGATTTGAGCCGCATGTCCAAGAAGCGAAAATAAAGTATCGTTGGTTCTCACGGTTCATTTTCTTCCAATTTTTTACAAAAAAAAATGGGTTCCGACAATGAGATAATGAATTTCCATTTCGTTTGTTACATGAAAACTATACTGCATTTGGTGATTATTCCCATTTTAGTTAAACTGATGCAATCTCCAGTTAGAGAGCCACACACAAAACTTTTCAGCACCCACACGTATTCGGCAAATACTACAAGATAACAAGTAAAATTACTCTAATTACTCTGCTACACCATCCATTTGACTTAACAGTTTGGAAATAGCGGAATGAAAAGGGCGACATTTCGGTTCATTCACCCTGCACGGTTATCGCTTGACACTATCAGAGATAAGAAAACGAAAAGCTTATCGGTTGGACAAACATTGTACGAAGTTATAGTATTGATTGTTACAGAAATCGAGAATGGAAACTATTTTCATGTGAAAGAATCGATATGGTATAAAACACATACTGAGAATATTGATCGTTCCAAATTTAATTGTTTTTGTCACACCATTTCTTATTTTGTACAGATTTTTCCTAATCGGTGCCGTTGGGTTTACAGCAGTTGCGATAAGAGATACTTTTTCTTTGTTTATAGCATCATACTTTAACATCAACAACAGTAAACAGAGTTACATAATAAGACGTCGTTTCAATTATAACTTTATAAGTACATATGAATATGATTGTG